GACAGTCTGTAGAGTTTTCCATCTGGTGTGGGTGAGTGATAGTCTACTTTGATTTTGGTTAAGGTAGATTATCATTTACAGTGTAATCAGTGAGGGGATTCTGCAGATTGTTGAGGGTTCAGCCTCCTTATGAGTTAGTGAAACTCCGACGAAACAGTTTGTCACAGCCCCTCGTTTGTTGTCCTCTTCTCTCTCTCTGCCTACGGTTTACCGGGCAGTTCTGTTTGTGACGATATATATAGATTATATATGGACTTTAAAAGAATATTCATATAGAAATAGAGATCTAGATCTCTATTTTTTCTATATGAATATTTTGAATTTTTATCACTTAACTTTATTGAGAATTTACTTCTACAAAATTATTCCAACCTCGTTCATGAAGGCTCTGATTTCTTCTTAAAGGACGGGTCACTAATTCAAGTATATCTCTAGCATTTGTAAATCCATGAATTTGAGCAAAAGTAAATTCTACTGACCATTTAGTACCATACTTGCAAGCAGACGGACCAGACGAGCGTCCGGTCCGGTCCGCTTTGCCGCGTGCGCCACCCTCCCCCCGGACCAGACGGGCCCGGAGCGGGTCGGGCAGGGGCGGTTTTTTTTTTCGGGGGGGGGGGGGGGGGGGGGGCATAACTGGTCGTCGGCCGCACTTTCGTGCGCCGCACGGGTCCGGTCCGGCGGTCTGCCGCACGTGCGGAACCGCCCGGACGACGTCCGCTTGCAATTATGTTTAGTACTAATTCCCCTACCCTCTAAAGAGGTAAGCTTGGAAGGTTTTGAGACAGTGGAGAACGATCAGTACGTCCTTCTTGAATTGAGAGTAGCAACGCTCAGTTGAGTTCAGCGTCCTACTTTCGAATCTGATTGGTCGTTCTCTCCCATCCTCCCTTCTTTGGATCAGGACTCGTTCTAAAGCTTGTGGTCCCCCATCGGTTTCGAGTACAAACGAATGCCCTACCTCATCGTTAAAGCATGGAGCAGCAAGGGTGACCTGTTCGGACGTCAATATGTCTTTCAAGGTCTGGACGACGGCTTCTCGTTCCTCTGTCCAGTTCAAGGGTGACCTGTTCGGACGTCAATATGTCTTTCAAGGTCTGGACGGCGGCTTCTCGTTCCTCTGTCCAGTCCAATATACCCTCCTCGTGATTCATGGCCCGAATGGGCTCTGCTATCTTAGTGAAGCCTTTGATGAAAATTCTCCAGAACCCTACAACCCCTAGGAAGGCCCTCACTTTCGTTGTGGTATGTGGAGGTGTTGACCATTGAGAGATTTTATCAGTCTTGGTCGGGTCGGGCTTCCTCCCATATGACCCGCAACAAAACCCCAGGATGGTCACTTCTGGAACTGCCAGGATACTCTTGGGACTGTTGGCAGTGATGTTGTACACCAGGAGAAACTCTTTGATATCCTGCAGGTTGTCCCACACGAATCTTCGTATTATAGGTTGAATTTCTGGTCCGTCCTTGTCCTGTGCGCCTTTGATTGGATTATCGTCAATGTAAGGTTCACATTTTGCAGGCAACATGTCTCCCGCAACTCCGAGCATTCTTCTTTGTGCCTTTGCCACAACATTGGTGAAGCCCATAGGAGTCACTTGCATTTGTAGTTGGCCTACTGGGTATGCATGGCCGTGTAGGGTCTATCCCGGACGTCCAACGGAAGCTGATCGTATCCAGAATAAAGATCTACCAACGAGTAAATGCTTTATCCGACGTGGGATTTTGCCAGCAAGTCCGCTTGAGGCAGCGACCCTGTATTCCGGATGGTGACATCATTTAGTTTCTGCAGATCCTGGATCCACCTAAGCGACTTGTTAGGTTTTTGGAACACAAACCATCTATTCTCGTATGGCGATGCGGTGGGTTCCGCCACAAAGGAGTCCATCTTTGCTCTAAGCAATTTTGTCACTTTCCCTGCTGCTCCGAAATCGTAGGCAGACCCCTTGCCGTTCCAACATTATGCTCGACTGTGTGGATCCTGACCGGAGGTATCAACTTTACATCTGGTCGTCACTTCTGATGGTCATTGAAGGCAAAAGCTAGGTGGAGTTCTTGGCATGCGTCCGTAATCAAGCGCGTCTCCTGTTCTGTCAGGAATCCCTCCACCCCTATCTTCATGGTCTCTGTTCATTCGGTATTCGGTGCCCCTCTGTTGCCCTTCTCTCTCTAATCACCAAGAGGACTTCTTCCTCCGTGACACGACTATGCATACGCCGTTAGGCCAGTTGCAAATGCAGGTCACGCCCATGGGTTTTACCAACGCAGTAGCAGAAGCGCAAAGGAGGATGCTTGCGGTCGCAGGGGGTATGTTTCCTGCGAAGTGCGAGCCTTGTATTGATGACAATCACGTAAAAATGGCACGTGAAAAGGATGAGACGAAGGTTCAGCCGGGAGTGAGAAAGTTCGTGTGGGACCACCTACAGGATATCAAAGAGCTGCTCCAAAGGTTCCTGGAGTATAACATCACTGCTAGCAGTCCAAAGAGTATCCTGGCAGTCCTGGAAGTCACCATTTTGGGATTCCGTTGTGGGGCTTACGGAAGGAAGCTGGACCCGGCTAAGATGGACAAAATTGCTCAGTGGCCTATGCCCCTCCGAACCACAACGAAAGTGAGGGCCTTCCTGGGCGTCGTGGGCTTCTGGAGAATCTTTATAAAGGGGTTCACAAAGATAGTAGAACCTATTCGGGCCATGATCTGCGAGGAAGGCACGCTTGACTGGACCGAGGATCGGGAGGCGGCCGTCCAGACCTTGAAGAAGATACTGACGTCCGAAAAGGTTACCCTTGCCGCCCCGTGCTTCAATGATGAAGTAGGACGCCCCTTCGTGCTTGAAACCAATGGGGGACCACTAGCCGTGGGTGGGGTATTGATTCAAAAAGGCAAAGATGGGAGAGAGGGTCCCATTAGGTTCGAGAGTAGAACGCTCAACTTTGCCGAGCGTCGCTATTCTCAGTTCAAGAAGGAGGTGCTTGCAATATTCCATTGCCTCAACACCTTCCAGGCGTATCTCTTTGGGAGAATGTTCATCTTGAGGATATATCCGACCAGTGTCGTGGGAGACTTCGACAGTATTCGAGAGTAGAACGCTCAACTATAGGCCTATCGATCCCACCGTGGGGAGATGGGTAGGGTTCATTTGGCAATTTGACTACGAGATTGAGCGCATAGTTGGTCTTAGGAATCGAGCGGACGGTCTGAGCAGGGTGAGCCTTACGCCGGAGGGACTAAAAGAAGCAGAGCCACTCGATGCATTCCTTGATCACGAGGGGGGAACTCTGGTGGTGGATAATGAGATGGCTGGGACCGCCTGCACAACCGGAGAATTGTTGATCAAAGCGTTAGAGAAAAAGCCTTCTGCGGTGGTAGCAGAACTCAGAGAAGGGGTGGTCACCAGGGTTGGACGAAAGGAAGAAAAGGACGCGTGGGGTAGTACTGTGGGGCCTCGGGAGGAACAGATGGCCTTAGCTATAGAAGGCGGATGGAAAAAGGTCATAAGCGTGATGGAGTCGTGGGACCAAGAAAGGCAATGGTAGGAAGTTAGCCAAATGTGCGAGAAGCCAACGAATTCCCGGGGGGAGGAGTTCTTCCTCGTCAAGTCGTATGATGGCATCTTTAGAGAAATCGACCTTCTGCTGGTGGGAAACAAGGACGCCCAGGAGGTCAGTCCTAATGCTAGGGAGGAGGCAGATAAGTATGTGCTAAAGAGGGGGCAACTGTTTCGGAGGGAGGAACGCCTGACCCCTAGAAGAGTGCGGGAGATCTAAGCAATTGGACATAATACAGGCAATGCATGATGGGTTGGCCGGTGGACATCGCTCCTCAAAAGGGACCTTGGCCAAAATAACACCTCTCTACTACTGACCAGGAATGGGATCCATGGTTGCTACGTACTGTCAGACCTGCCGAATCTGCCAGGAACGAAGTACGGCCTGGATTTTTGAGCCGCTCAGGCCTACACGAGTGCTGGAGCCAGGGCATATGGTGCACCTCGATCTAGCAGTTATGTCTGTGTCTACCAAAGGGTACAGGTATATACTCGATGCTAGAGACAACCTTAGTGGGTGTGTGGAGGCAGTGACGCTGAAGAAGAAAACCGGGATGGTCGTGGCCGACTGGGTCGAGGATTTCTACTTAAGGCACCCGTTCATCAGAAGATTCATAGCTGACAATTGAACCGAGTTCGTAAATCAAGACGTCCTGAACACCTGCAAAAGGCTAGGGGTGCCCCTCAAATTGATCGAGCCATACCACCCGGAGGCCAATGCACCGGTAGAGAGAGGGCATCAGACGCTCAAAAACAAGATACCTTAGGCAAGCTGTGTTCGCCGAGAATGTGACCCCTAAGAGGACCACAGGATGTATGCCGGCGGAATTATGGTATGGAAGAGAAATCGACTTTCCGGTAGAAGCCCTAGTACCAACTTGGAACAACTTGGAGGAGGATCCCCACCTAACTACGGAACAAATGTTCGAGGCCAGGTGCGAGGAGGCGGCTAAAAATGAGGAAGCCTTGGAAGAAATTGTAAACAGGGTTCTAGATAGTCGGATGAAGGATAAGACCAGGTGGGACCAACTGAAGAATATCAGGAAGGAGCCGTTACAAGTGGGGGAAATGGTTTTGGTCAGGAATTCGACACTAGAAAGCACATGGTCAGGACAGCGAGGGCGAAGATTCAAAAGGCCCTATCGAATCACTAAGAGACTAGGGATGAACACCTTTGAGGTTGAGGACGTGGATAGGACCAGCATAGAAGGGCCGTTCCCTGGGCAGCAATTGGTCAGATTTCTCAGCAGGGATCCGGTGGAGCAATGGCTGGAAGAAGCTCAGGACAAGGAAGCAGAAGAATAGACCGCTCAGTACGGCGACAAGGATTTTACTTATCACATGTGTTTCTCTTTGCTTTTGTTGTCTTCCTTTCGTTCGTGTGTGTGTGCATGGGAAGGACGTGGAGTTCAGATGGGACACTGTACCATAGTTTTTGTGAGGGCATTGGGGATGGAAGCCAAGGGTTGGGCATCGTATCTTAAGGATGGGGACGAGGGGATCTCTAAGGGCAAGATGTCGTGACTACCCAATGGGATAAACGGGGCTTGGGGGCGCATGTGACCAAGACTTGGGATGGGACCACGTGTTTGGGGAACCGGGTGGCCATAAGGATGAGACAAAACTTGACTAGGGATGGACTCCACAATGGGGGTGCATTGGGGCCTTTCCTTTTCCTCGGTTGACATTGATTACAGGTAGAGAAGACAGCCCAAGCAAAATGGAGTTCAATAACGAGAATGACATTAACCGGGAAAACACCGCTTGTGAGGATCCGTGGAGGTAGCCAGACAGACCGCAAGATAGACAAAGACCGGTGCTGGTTATTGGGCCACAGCCAAGAGCACCACTAGGGAAAAGAAAGAGGAAGTTGTTTGCCTGTAAACCCTCGCCTACCAAGGAAGGCGAGGTACTACCTGCGTAGTCAGAAGAGGAGGACGAACAGAGAATGGAGGGGAAGGGGGAAGAAACTAAGCAAACCAATCATGACGAGGAAAGGCAGGAAGGAGAGGACAGTGATCCGGAAGATGACGTTCAGGAAGTCATTGCAATAAGCAGTGAGGACGAGACAGATGAAATATCAAGGCCAAGGGAGGAAGGGCAGTGTTCGACAAAAAGCTCGGATAAAAGAGCCACCAATTGGGAGGAAGAATGTGGGTCAACCCCTAGTCACTGGTTTGAGCAATGGGCAAGTGTGGTTAAGCATGAGTGGATTATTAAAGCACGAAAGTTGATAGCGGTCGGGAGAACACCTACACCGTTGGACTTTTTCATTGAAAAAGATCTGCAGTTGGCAAAGGAAAAGAGAGATAAGATTCAGACTTATGGGTTGGGCATGGAGCCACCCTCGAGGGATAGCAGTGAGGAAGGGGCTAAACGCCAAAGGACAGATTCAAGTGCTAGGGATTAAGGACGGGTTGGCAAGGGAACGCCAAGGCAAGAGCAAAGGGCGGCCAGAATTGGGATAGTCGGTTGGGTCATGAAAGGCATGAGATTTGCAGACTAGATGAACTGGATTTTCTTTCTTTTTGTTGTGGTTCTGCTAAGGAACTTTTGAAAGGGACCCGCTGGGGCAAGTATGCCAAGCCGTGGTATGTAGAGATATTTGTTAGATTGGAACTTGTCAAGAGACACGAGGCAGGATGAGATAGGGGGAAAGAGCAACTTTTTGTATGAAGCTACCTTTCGATTTCAATTTTATAAGGCTGGACGAGAAATCGATTAAGATATGAGCACCGAGTGTTGTTTCTTTAAGTAAAGTTATTTTGACGACTCTTGTTCTCGAGAGCCATGAGACTGGTTGCAATGGATGGATATGGGACTTGACGCGGGATCGGTTGCAAAGACTAAGTTCAAAAGAAAATGTATGGTCATATGTACGAGTGTCCAATTGCACATTGTCAGAGAGGTTAGGAAACCTATGGGTAGAACGACATGACCATGCTTTCCCCTAGGAGCCTAATCCAACCAAGTCAATGTCGTGTTACAGGACATGAAAGTGGAGCAAGTGCAGTGCATGAGACACTGGGTTTTTATGGTTGAACGGTCGGGCGGGCTAGCTTTGCCAAAGGTTGGATGTTTTCGACTGTACGCTAGACGTTAAGTCGAATGCAAAAAAAAAAAGACGTAAGCAAAAAGGTGTTTGATAAGGAAAATCTGAAGAGATAGCACGCTGAAAACTGATGGCCACCACCTACCCCCCCCAATTGATGATCGAATCCGAGCCTCCCAAAGCCCACCCCCTCGGGCATCAGTATTGGAATTGGAAAAGGAATGACCCTAACCAGGCTATTCAAAGATCAGATGTGGAAAAGGAATGGCCCTAACCAGGCTATTCAAAGATCAGATTTGGAAAAGGAATGACCCTAACCAGGCTATTTAAGGATGAGATTTGGAAAAGGAATGGCCCTAACCAGGCTGTTCAAGGATGAGATTGGAAAAAAGGAACGACCCTAACCAGGTGGTTCGGAGATGACGCCTAACAAGGGTTGTCTCTTTGGAAATGGGCACTGGGGTCCCTTTGCATAACTGGTTGTGGATTGGCTGCCTTATGAATGAACAAGAAAAGGTTGTCGGGTCGGCCATTGAACTGGACATATTGAGAAAGGGCCGTCGGGCCGACCATTGAATAGTACATATTGAGAAAGGGCCGTCGGGTCGGCTATTGAAAAGGACATGTTGAGAAAGGGCCGTCGGGTCAACCATCAAAATGGACATATTGAGAAAGGGCCGTCTGGCCGGCCATTGAAATGGACATATTGAGAAAGAGCCGCCGGACCGGCCATTGAAAAGGACATATTGAGAAAGGGCCGCTGGGGTGGCCATTGAAATGGATATATTGAGAAGAAGGTCGTCGGGTCGACCATTGAAATAGGGAGGTTGGGAAAAAGACCGTTGGGTCGGTGAAGCGGAGGACTTGAGAAAAAGGTCATCGGGTCGGCCATTGAAATAAAGAGATTGAGAAAAAGATCGTTGGGACGGTCATTGAAGTGGAGGACTTAAGAAAAAGGCCGTCGGCTCGGCCATCGAAATAAAGAGATTGAGAAAAGGAAGTTGGGAAAGAAATCGTCGGGACGATCATTCAAACAAGATGAGTTGAGAAGGAACGTTGTCGGGCCAGCCATGAGAAAAGGAAAGCGGCAAATGGATCAACCAGGAGAAGAGAAGGCCGCCTTTGATTGAAAAGAGGCTGCCGGATCAGCTATGAGAATCAGCCTTGTGAAAGACTTGGAAAGAGCTTGGAATAGGATGTTTGCTTGAGAATTGGAAATTGCATTGCATACATAAGGGACCCTAGGCAAAAGATGAAAGGTCGTCGGGCCGACCATGGAAATAGCAAGAGATTGAGCCTTCCAACCTTTTTCTAGTCTCAGGGCCTAATATGAAGGGGAAAGTGGTGCTTGCGCCGCGACCCCAGGACCGCTATCCTTCAAGGAAGTGTCCAAGCGCGACCTATTCCTCATTAGCAGGATGACAGGTTAAAGGATCAAGGTGTCAATGCGATACTG